GAAATCATTCCCGCAGATATTCTCTTGTTGAAGTATGCCTCGAGATTTTATTTTATTTCGCTGAGTTAGGCCATTAGATTGCTCTCAAATAGATTAATGAATTGAATTAATTGATGTTCATGCAGATCATCCGATGAGAATGGTATTTGTTATGTGGAAACATCGAATTTGGATGGTGAAAGCAGTCTAAAGCAACGTCAGATTATTTCGTCGATGGGTTCTGCATCTCTTGATTTCACTCCCCCTCAGTTCACTGCGACTGTTTACTGTGAACAACCAAACAATCAAATTTATAGGTTATTAGCCATTTCGTTACCCGTTTTTTTCACGCTTTGTCTTATTGCTTTCATTTGATTCATCAACTTAAAAGTCATTCTCGTTACTGAACAATGTAAAACGTTCGTATCATTATGCAGGTTCAGTGGTTATTTGGAGCATGAGAATGGTGCGAAAGAAGCGGTCGATAAAGTGAATCTTTTGTTGCGTGGTTGCGAGGTACGGAATACGGATTTCGTCGAGGGTATCGTTCTATACGCAGGTAGTATTTAACTGTCCGTCTGCTCAGATCTCGTTTAATGATTTCTATTCCCGCTTTGACAGTATTGTCAGTGGAAATTGCCTTTCGTGAAGATAATAACTGAAGGGAATGTTCCGAAAGTTAATCGTATATTAATGAGCAATAAGAATAAACGTTTGAAAATTACGTAATAAATGAGTGGGCTTTATTGCAGTAGTTATCAATAGGAAGTCACGTGATATTTCATGAAAAAAGTGATTGTTTGAGGAAGAGACACGAAAGCGATGTTGAATAATTCTGGACCACGTTATAAACGTAGTGAATTGGAACGCTTGACGAACTGGGATATTATTTGGTGTGTACTCATCCTTCTTTTGATGTGCCTTACTGGAGCTATCTTCTCAACTCGTTGGTTGAGCTCTTTCGCAGATCCTTACCAAGTGCCTTATCTTACTTTTGTTAAGAATATTGATTCTTTGAATCCACAATTAGAAGGATTCATCAACTTTTGGAGCTATATAATTGTTTTACAGGTATGTTATGTTCATCGATGTTTATTTGCATCCTTTCACACTTTAGTATTCATTCTAACGAATGCGCTTTATAAATCCATGCGTTTTGTTGAGAGCTTCGGTTGTTTTGACCGCGAGTGCAGTCTTCATGACATGATCTGCAGTGTACGAAAGTAGATTCCAGTGGAATTCGTATTTGAACGAATACCAGTGAATTCATTTCATTTTCAGATACGATCGGTTGACAAATTGCCTCTTTGTGTTCATGATTCAGTTATGAATTCGATAGTGAAGTATCATTTTTTCATGCAAAGAAAATTAATTTTCAGGTAATGATACCGATCTCACTGTACGTTTCTATTGAAATAATAAAATTGGGTCAGATTTATTTAACTTCGCAAGATATCAATTTGTATTATGATGCAGTTGATAAACGAATTGAGTGCAGAGCTCTGAACATCCCAGAAGAATTAGGGCAAGTCCAGTATGTTATGTCGGATAAAACGGGAACTTTAACTGAAAACCAGGTTTGCCTTATGTTTTTGAATTGTTGATAGTTATAGCATGCAAGTGTTGTCTTATTCAGTACTAAAAGTTAATGGTGTTGAAAGGTTGTTCGGATAATGTTGAAAATAATGCTGAAAAAGTAATAATGTTACATGCTCATATAATGAGTGCTTTTCGAAGCAATAAACTTTCATAATCACCTTCGCTAGAATCACCTTGCACGGAATATAATTGTACAACTGGTATCATCAAATTGACTCGTGTTATCCCAAAAAAAAGACATACTCCTGCAGAAACATTCCCAAGTTTGACTTCAAATGATTTCAGATGATATTTCGAAGATGCTATGTGGCCGAGCATGACTATGGTACTGAAACAACAGCGTTACCAACCACAAATACGCACTCAACATCAACCTCTTCATCAGTCATGAAAGTTGATATCGAATTGCAGAATCGTTTAGCCAAAACGTTTCAGTCATTTTTATCTAAAGGTGATTTGTCGTTCAACGACGATTCATCGCAATCTGATTTGTTGCATTTCTTCATCAATATGGCCATCTGCAATACTGTCGTCGTTAATGCTCAGCCACATCAAGTTTGTTTTACACGTCATTCATTCACGTTTCTTCTTGCTTTCGTTGATTTCGTTTGAGTATCGCTTTGTTCAATATTCCATCTTTTCAAACGCTTCAGAAGAAGAAATTTCATATTGAAGCGTTGACTTTAAATAATGCTGTTAATTTTGATTATTTTTCCAATATCAGGATCACCTCGACGAGTCAGGATTTTTCATTGGTGATTCGTTCATTGCTGGAAATTCAGCGTTCCATTTGCCACCACCAACATCGAACCATTCACTTCGACGAAGTTCGTCATTCCTTCTTCCCTTCTTTTCTATTCCAATGAAAGTCAACTTTCGAAACGAATCGCTCTTGTAATTGTACGTATAATGAATGAATTTTCAGTGCCATCAAAAAAATCGCTCAACAACACCAATTCATCGAATCCAGTTCCAAAAGTAACGTTTACGTGTGGTCATATCGAACCGTCGTCACCCCTCAGCATCTGCAATAAAAACTTAACACAATCCAATGACGAAGAAGCACTGAAGAGAATGCACATTGAATCGCCATCCAATCGTCGTTATGTTAAACGACGACCGAATAATGCCGAGTCAACACCGAATTATCGTCAGTTCTCCTCAACCGCGCCATCTGAACACCAGCAATTCCCAACTCGATCGTTATCAAATGATGTTGACGAGAATGAAGCGATGCCTAATGAAGATGTCACGCAGCTGGATGAAAATGAATCTTCGATTGTTCTGCAGAATCAAGAAGCAAATGAAGATGATTGCAGTTTTTGTGTTGATAATGAATTCGTGAATATGACTGAAGAAGATGCTGATGGTGGATTGCAATATATTTCTGATCGTTTTACAAATGATACTAGTGATAATCGCAGTAATCTTCAAAAAGTTTCATTTTCGGGCGTAAACGATGATGATTTATCAGATGAACAACAGAATGAAGCTGTCAACGAAATAGTGAATGCTGATTCAGTTGTGCAATTCGAGGATGCAGAAGGAAGACTTGATGTGGAAAACAATGAGAAGAGTCCAGAAAGATGCCCAACTTCACAAGAAGCTGTTAGTTGTGAGAGGGCACAAGAATCGCATTGTTCCAGTGAATGCGACGAACGTCTGAATCAGTCAGCCCCAGCCACCGTAAAGCCCGCACCCCCAGCCCATTCGGTATCCGTTCCAGATCACCTCTCGTCGAATGCTCCACATTCAACCAGTGAACATTCATCGATGATGTTCGCCCACTTACTCGGATCTGCTGAACTCTTTCGAATCTCTTCAACGAAACTACTCTCGTTGAATTTCAGTAAATTGCATATGAAAGGCTTCAAACTGAGTCCCTTGTTAAGGTGCGTTCGTTGTTTTCGTGTCGTTTTTGTTTGAGTGAATGTGCGCGATGCCAGTTCGCTTCATAGCTGTGGCTAATATCTATTAGCCGCTGAAATTTTCATATTCAATCTGAAATTCAGAAAGAGTGCGGAAAAATTATAATGCATCAACTGTGTTTGGCATTTTTATATTGTATGATTGAAATAGGAGAGAAATTTAAGGTTTAAAAAGTCGAATCAATCATCCGAAGATGCGTTAGACGGTGATGTGGTTCAAAACCCGATTTATGAGGCTGAGTCACCGGATGAGTTGGCTCTCGTTGAGGCAGCTTCAAACCATGGTATACGGCTTTGTAGTCGACATTTACGTGCCACTCTCTTGCAAATCGCACCTCTTGGTTTCATTCTCAAATACAAGGTATGATCTGAAAGCGTTCTTCGANCACTCTCTTGCAAATCGCACCTCTTGGTTTCATTCTCAAATACAAGGTATGATCTGAAAGCGTTCTTCGATCGTACACTAATTCTTCATTTATTTACCTTTTGTGATCATTTAGTGCAGTGTTAAAAATTCACTCGAAAGACAGGAATTAACGATAAAATCGATATAAATGTTTTTATATTTAGTTGCGTAATTCGAGTGTTAATTCATGTGATATTACTCATATTTTTGGTTATCCTGAGGTCATTTTTGTTTTGTTCGCCTGAATCTTTTCATTCGCAACATTTACTTTTCATCAAGTTATACTAATGATTTTTTTGTTTCTTCTTCAGGTATTACATGTACTTCCGTTCGATTCTGATCGTAAGCGAATGTCTGTTATCGTAAGAGATCGAATGGGTCGTATCGTTGTTTATTGTAAAGGTGCCGATTCGGCGATACTTCCGGTCATTTCACAACGGTTCCTTTATTTTGTTGTTGTTCGTTTATTTGTTGCTTCTTCTTCTTCTTTCATTCCCCTACACATCATGTTGTTTGTTTATTTTACATCTGAAATAGTAATGACCCATATGGCTGTTCATTGATATTGTCCATATCATCCATCTCGTTAGTCTTGTTTGAAGTCATTCTCATTTTACGTTCGCAAAATGCTGCCAACACATCCTTTTGAGGGTATTTTGTAATTGTTCAGCCCTGCTCCGTGCGCAGAATAAATGTTCATCCAATCATCAGCGAACG